AACAAATATCTTTAATCGTTTACGCTGAGAATGAGTAAAATGTAATTTTTTGACACATTTTTCATTACTGCTCCGCTCCTATTGGTCGTAGCTTGATGTTGTATAGCCTATAGCACTCCAGGATAATATACCTTTCTCGTTACCTTCAATGATGGAGATGACCACGCTTAACTAACAGTGAAATTTGTTTTAAAATCTGCAGTACTGTATTCTGTACTGTACTGTTACTGTCTTTACCTCTTTACCTCTACTAGCTACCCACCCCGGCGTCGCACGGGTGTACATGTATTATACATATATATATATATATATATATATATATATATATATATATATATATATATATATATATATATATATATATATATATATATATAAACCTTCCTCTTGAATCACTCTATGCATTAAAAATAACCGCTTTAAAATCTCTTGCGTAGTTTTAAAGATTTAAGCATACATAGGGACAGACAGCGAGAGCGACTTTGTTTTATACTATGTAATGATAATGATGAAGATTTGTACCTATTATAAATAACCTTTTATGATAGTCTCAACTCTTGAGTTAGGTTTAACTCTATTAAACTTAACGCTCTTATTTTTAGGAGCTGAATAAAAATTCTAAAAATGGTATAATGGTAAGCGAACACCAATTACTGCCATTTCTAACGTAAAAACTCAAACAAAGCGACGCGACCCTATTTCTTTTAAATTAAATTGAAGTTAAAAAGCAGTGCACAACTATTATACATCGATCTGTAGACCCCATTTACTGGCTTACACATATTTACTCACTGCGCCACAAAGGTCAGTTATTACGATGTGATTTGTTATGTAGGTTAGGTACACAAACACTAAAAATAAGTTAATTAGTGCCCAAATCCAATTTTAGTCCAAATAAGATATTCACCTTGTTGATATAAAATGACCTTTAGTTAATTGATATATAAATGAATCGCGGCATGTACAGTCAGCCGCGTATACATTGTAGTGTCAAGTATTGAATATATCTTCGGACGCATTTTTTTTTACCCTTTTTATGATATTGGTGCACCCGCCTGCGCTAACGGTTTACTCTGGCGAAGCCTCAGTGAAGGACGCCAAGGTGAATATGATGTTTGGTTAGTTCGCGCATCGTGACAAATCACCAGGAATTTATCAGGATTCCAAATAGAACCGCTTGGAGGCAACCTGACTTGGTACATTGCTAGAAATGGGTTCATTTGTCCACATTACTAACAATTCTCTTTTCCCCTGACTTCAATATTATGTATATCTACACATAATATTGAAGTCATCATTATATGAACCATAGTTATATTGTTTAATCTACCGCTCATTCGGGAAGCTGTCTCATCACAAGAAAAACTAGCAAAAAACTTGCGTGACGCTCTTAATAAGCGGCTGCAATGTCCTACATGAATAAATTATTTTTCATTTTAGTTAACACCAACTATTAAAATTTTTTCCTATAACAATAAGGTATAATATATATAAAAGCAAAAAAAAAACCAGTAAATTCTTCCATGTTATATAGACTGAAAGTAAAACGTTGGCCGGAAATTGTAATGGGCTTTTCAGCACTGAAGTAGATAAGGACTGTGATAATGATGATGATATTTATGAAGCCGACTGCACTAAAGGTACATTACCAGAAGTCATTTAATTATGGAAGCGATTAAATATTTACTTCATTCTGTACCCGTATTACAATTTGAATGCAAACCTACAACCTTCGTTTTTTATTTCCTCTTCCTACAAGTTATAATTCATATTCGAGATAATTGGAGTCCATGTGTTTGTATATTATGAAACGATCCTAATTAATATTGGAAAATGAAGGAGGGTTTTGGCAACTAGTAGCCCTATCGCCAGCAAAGTCAGATTGACTTCCCCACGGTTCGCCCTTGAATATAGTTAATTTCTATTGATTCGCCATGGTGGGAAGAGATTATATTTATGTCAAACGGAAACTGGTGCCCCGCCAGGGTATGACGTTAGTGCAGGTGGTAATTGTAGTAGCTACCATACCATTTTTTTATTGGATGATAATGGAATGGTGCACACGCTTGTGCTAACGGTATCCGCTGGCGGAATACCAGTGGAGGATAACAAGATGAGCTAACTGTCAGCTCATCGTGTCAAATGCAAGAAGAATTTTTCAAGATGGTTTCCACTAAGAACTCGTGGAGGTTAACCTCACATGGTACTTACATTTTTAGCAATGGGGTCATTTGTCCAAATTATTAACAATCCACTACTATTATCGACAGTTAGAAGGGAATAGTTTCATTAAAAATACCAAATTAGTAAGTGTTTCAACACTTACTTAAATTGTTATGAAATTTCTATAATTATTATAAAATAAAATATTTGTGTACATTACGTGATATCTTCGCCGTTAACTAAACATATGTTTGTTTTTAGATACATGTATATTATAGTTTTTGTATTTTTATTGCTGATTTCCATTATCTTACGGTTATTTATATGACTGTAACCTAACTACTACGCTATAACCTTACCTACCTATAACAGTTAAAGATTTTAAATAATAGGTCATAGTAATCAAGAATTAGTAAAATTAAAGTAACCTGTATCCATTATAAACAATTGAGTAAAATTATAGTCAAATTGAGAATCCCTTTTTTTATTGGGTTGTTTGGGCTATTGTCAGATGTTTGTAGCACCTGTAGAACTGCGACCCACATAGATCTATTGTGCTCGCCCTTTTTCAAAGTTCGCTTGAGAATCCCTACTTCTGGAGTTGGTTGAGAAACAAAAGTCATTTCTCATCCCCTAAAGTTAAACGTGAACCTTCAAATTACAAATAATAAATGAAAAGCAGAATGTTTGTATGTCACTTATCTGCATACATAAGTTCATGTTTGCATTCCTACAATATTAGTAGGTAGAGTGACGAGTTGATGACGCAACTGATAGTATTATCTCATTTAACAATAAAGTTTACTGAGTACTTAACTCTTACCGGTTTATGCATAAAAACACAGAACATTTGTATATGTTGATATTATATAAGTATATCTGCATTCCCTGTTACGTAGTATAGTGATAGTACTTCCAATAGTTGCGCGTTCGATTCCTCGCACGCTACAAACATTTGTATGCATGAGTATGATTGTTTGTATGGGTATATATTATTTAATGGATGATAATGGAATGGTGCATCATAAAAATGTGCCATAAATCCTCTAATTTACTAATAAAAAAAGAGAAACCGATACGATACGAAAGATAATGTCCTAAAACGCGATAATTATTAAAATAGTAATATTTTGTCTCTTTTTTTCTTAGTAAATTTACTAAGAAAAAAAAAGAGACCAACCAACCAACTTTGTGTCCTTTTCTCGAAGGAATTTCAGGACTTATTTCACACACTTTCAACATTACATCGATGTATTTTTCCCATCTTTGTTTCGATTTCTTTGACATTTTTTTTCTTTCCGTGAATCGATATGTTGATTAAGATAAATACCGAGCTCTTTGTCAGCAGACCGTCGGTATTGATAACAAAGGAACAGTAAAAGTACCTAGAATTCCTACAAACATGCATGCGGTCACGGCCGGACGTTGGTTTAACGGCCTTACAACTTCATTATGTAGCATGCCACGGATTCGCATGACGTTGTGATCATAAATTTCAAATTAATCGATTTTATTATAAAATTTTATAAGATTTTTGTTTTTATTCGTATTGGATATGCTCAAAAAGTAATTGATTTTAACCAATTCTTTCACTCATAAAGGAAACAGATGATGTCTCAGGAATAATTTTTTGATTTTGATTGTATGGTGCACTCGCCTGCGCTAACGGTTTATGCCGCTGGAACACCAGTGGAGTATGATAATGTGAACATGTGATCAGGTCAGTTAGCCCATCGTGACAAATTCACCAGGAATTCATCACGATGGTTTCCAAGGAGAACCGCGTGGAGGTCAACCTGACATGATACGCACAATGGCGTCCACATTACTAACAATCCCATTCCCCCAAGCCGTATTACACGCGGGCACCGCTGTGGTATTCAGCCTATATAATATTAAATAAAATCGATTTAAAAATTATATTTACTTGTATGTCCTAAAATACAGATTATAAAATTACAGTTTTTTTTTATTTTGTGAATTGTCAATGATTTGGTTCCAAGTTTATAATCCCTTCATTAAAGAAATAAATAATTCCGTAGGTTACATTAATATGTAAGTACTAACTAATTGTCATGACGACAGTGCTCATAATTTAATATTAAGTTCTAGGTAACTGAGAACATTGTAGTTATATTAGCCCTACATTGAAGTACTCGCAACAGTGTAGGTAATGTAATAGTTGTTGATAGTGCATAATCATTGTGCTTGTTAATATTGACATTAATATTAATACTGCTGATTATGTAATTATTATTATTAGTATAACTAGGTACCTCGTCTGATAGATATTATTGTTACATCTGTACCGAATTATATCTAAAAGATAGATCAAAATGTTTGCGAAGAATCGAACCCATGACCGTCATAGTTAAGGCGCAGCGGTAACCGATAGACCTCCGACGTCGTCAACAAAATTTTCTAACAATATATTTATTATACTAGTGATTGGGACCGCTGGACCAGACGACGTACTGCCCGGAAAAGAAGTGCTACTTGCCGGGTAATTGGTCCCGGCAAGTACTGTTTTTTTATTATTTGTACCATCTTAAAACTGACATTCTAAATCTAAATAATTATAATAACGATTTTTCTTTATTAATTTAGTGATAAAACAATTATTAAGCAAATTGCTTTAATCAAATCCTTTCCATCGAAATTTAGCCCATTTAAAAGGCCCAGAGCGAAAGTTAATTCATGTCGTATCCATTTCCGAATTGCCCCCCTTAATAAGCAAATAGGTCCCCTTTGAGGCGTGGGCCCGTTGGTAAATACTGACTTAGAGTTTGAGTTTGCAGAAGTGATTATATAATCACGTTTCTATCTTTTCAGAAGTGGCAATGGACTCAGGACGCGCGTTCTGTCCTCGTGTCGGATGTGATACCGTGGTTTCGGTGCGCGCCGCCAGTCCAGCTCACTGTCCGACCTGCAGGCATGAATTCTGCTCGCAGTGCAATCAGGAGGTAAAAATATTTTTTTTTATATCACTTGAATTTGTACTTAGAGAGACTTTGTAAAATCTCCTTACTCCTTCCAGCTACATATTTTATAAAATAAACAAAGGTGAAAGTGAGGTAAATTTCACTGGTGTTTGGTTTATAAAATGTGCTGTGTTGGAAGGTAGAGACAATGAAATTACAGGATAAGAGGCATGACATCTTAGTCCTGTTGTATTAAACAGGACGTCATGAAGATGTAATGCCTCATCGTCATCGCATGATTATCACTATCAGGAATTTATCACGATGGTTTCTAGTAAGAAACCATCGTGATAAATTCCTGATGAATTTGTGGCGATGGACTAACTGACCTAACCTCATTTTATCGTCCTCCACTGGTGCCCCGTCAGCGTAATCCATTAGCTTTGTAACCCTACAAAGCTGTGCACCCGCACCATTTGATTATCATCCATAAAAAATAATACGTTTACTAATTACCCTTCCTCCCGCTTGGGGTGAACTCACTGTGGGGTGAAGTACAAGCATGTCATTGACATTTGGGTAGGACCAGTGGCGTCGCTATGTAATTTAGGTACCAACGTAGAATTACTCGTCACGTTGCTATATGTACGATAGAGACACGAATTTAGCCAACATTATATAGCTAAGGACGGTTGCGTCCGTGACATGTTAAGTTGCTGTTACTTTAAACACCGTGAAAATGTATATTAGGGTTGACTACCTGTTATAAAATTGAAGGAAATTTATTAACACTTTCGAAAATTAAAATATAATTATTATTGTATTATTATTATTATTTTATTATATATGAAGGTATCCGCAGAAAACCAGCGTCGTGGCACCCCGTCACGACATATGCTGAGCGGAGACCTATTTGGTACTGTAAAATTAATATAAATTATTAATATAAAAATGTAAATTAAAATTTAAAAATTGTTTTCAGTGTACCAAATAAACAGTTTTCGTTCTTTCTTTCTTTTAATTAAAAAGAAAAAAAAAACACGAACAATGCAGGTACAACAACAGCAATAGGTAGTAGGTACATAAAAAAATACTATAACTTACTAATATTATAAACGCGAAAGTTTGTAAGTATGGATGATGATAGATGGATGGATGTTTGTACTCTTTCACGCAAAAACTACTAAAATAATTTTAATGAAATTTTACAGTAATATAGCTTATACCTCAGAATAACACATAGATTAAAAATTTCATGCTTGTGGAACCGCGAGCATAGCTAGTATACTAATAAAAAAAAGTAATTCAATTGAATTTCTTGCCAGTTCTTCTCAATTGGATCTATATACCAAATTCGACGGTAGGGAAAAAAATTAAATTATAATGTAAAAAAATTCACGTTCATAGGCGTCCTACTAGAATAATAGATTTTTAAATTTGAATTTGAATTGAATAAATGTCAATAAGAGTGTGTGGAGGATAATGCTAAAGATATGGTTTCCAGCTCTTATTGTCAGTTGAGAGTTTACTATTTATTTTACCAATGCATTATTTTTTTTGTTTTATTTATCCTTATAAAAAATGCAAAAACTATATACAAGCCAAAAGTTATCCATTAGCATTGTGTAGGGATGATTTTCACCAAGTTGAATAGAAGATGCTGTTTTTTTTTATGTATTATTTAAAGGAAATATATTTGTTTTTAATTTTGAAAGTATCGTGGTCTACTTATTTACTATGGCGACTTGTCGTGAGTTGAAATCTGGCCGACCTACTTTAAAAGTTTATATGAATATTGATTAAGGATTAATTAAAAACGTACAATATATGCTAATCTAGAATATATAACTGGAATATTACTAGATCTTTCTATGCAATAAAAATAATTTTAAAGATAGCGACAACCCTACCACATGCCTGAAGCCGCATCGCCCATTGTGACAGAATGGCGCTAGCACTTTCCCATAATTCCTTTGTTACTGACATTCCAAAGAATACGCGGCACAAAGGCTTCGCACTCTCCCATATGGGATCTGAAGATTGTGGGTTACTGCTTGTTGCGACCCCGTTCAAATATAACCCTTATTGACAACTGCAATAAGAGCCAATTACAATTATACCACTAAGTATTTATGAATATGATTACAATGTAATGTACAGAGAAAGTTTACGAGTTTACTATTTTCTGTGTCGTAATTTCTAATAGAGTTGTGTCAAAAGCTGTTTGGAATGCTAGTGAAATGAGAAAAATGTCCTTCGAGTGTTCACTGCAATCTCAAAGGTTTTTTTAATAAATGTTTTTTTATATTACGATGTTGGCAAGGGTCAAAAATGCGCACGTGACACCCCTGGTCTCTCAGGGGTGTCTGTAGGCTACGGTAACCATTTACCATCAGATGGGCAAATTTAAACAAAAATTACCACTCACTAAAGATTATCTGCTATAGTTTGAGAAAACCATTAAGTAATGCCATATTATAAAAAATAATGTTTGTTAAATAAATTTAATTAAAAATGCCCAATATGAATAAATTTTGAATGAATAAATAGTGATTTTTTTTTAATTACTAGCTGCGGACCGCGGACGAAGTCACGGGTCTTCGTCCGCGTTATATTTAACTTTATTTTCTAAAATAAAAGTAGCCTAAGTTACTCCTTATTACATCAGCTACCTACTACTATCTACCTGCCTATAAACGTCTAGTCAAAATCGGTCCAACCAGAAATTAGCCGGAACAAACAGACAGAAAGATAGACAAAAATTGTAAAAAAAATAATTTTGTTATATGTACCGTATTTATTATGCATGTAGTAAAAAACGGTTATTTCAATATTACAAACGGTAAGTTACTCCAATTTTATTTATATGTATAGATGTAAATATATCAAAATGCTAACACAGATAGACCTATTTACGATATACGGATGACGAATTACGCCCTTGACGGTATAGCGGTTTAGCCACCGCCTTACTTCCAATTGTCGCGGATTCAATTCCTCGCACAGCACAAACATTTGTATTCATGAATATGATTGTTTGTATCTGTCAGGTTTTCTGTGTATATTATGTATGTATTTACAAAAAAAATGTATGTGTATTTATCAGTTGTCTAATAACACAAGCTCTGCTTACTTTGGGACTAAATGGCACTGTGTGAATTGTCCTGAGATATTTTTATTATTATGATTAAACATACGAATGTCAGTGTTCTAAATGATATTTCCATTATATCACAATTAAACGCGATATATAACAACAAACATGTTTGTGTGTTTATCTAACAAAAAGTTAGATATTGCATTTTAACCACGCCTCCAATTTCTTAGAAAACGATTTACATTACTATAAAAATATATATATATATAACTTTATTACATAGTATAAAACAAAGTCGCTGTCACTGTCTGTCCGTCCCTATGTATGCTTACAAATACGCAACGGATTTTGCAGTGGTTTTTTTAAATAGATAGAGTGATTCAGGAAGCAGGTTTATATATATATATAATATTTAATGTAAACCCGTGCGAAGCCGGGGCGAGTAGCTAGTAACTTATATAATACAATAGCGTCGCATACGGCTTTCACTTATAAAAGTTGTATCTATTATCTATATCGTCAAGATTATCAATCAATAATAAATATATAACGTCGGTATGCACGACGCATGATTATCATTGAGCTGTCATCAACTCATCAAACTAGTGATAATACTATGACGTAATTGATATGCAAGCTTCCTGATTTGTCGGTATCATATAAGATTATTTATCGAGGCTAGTGCAATGAAGGTTGTATAGCTAAGCGAGTATTGTAGACTAAAAATGATGCATTCAAATTTCGAATCTTTTTTTTAATAATAATTATAACATAGGACAATTCACACAGCGCCATCCAGTCACAGTTCTTATGGATGATAATGGAATGGTGTACTAGCATGTGCTAATGGTTTACACTGGTGGAGCTCCAGTGGACGATGATAAAAGGAGCATAAAGTCAGTTCAGTTAGCACATCGTGGTAAATTCACCATGAATCACGACGGTTTCCTGGGGAACCACGTGGAGGTCAACCTGATATGGTACATTGCTAGCGATGGAATTATTAGTCCACATTACTGACAATCCCCGTTCCTCCCCTCTAGTCACAGTTTTTTTTATGGATGATAAGCTGTCTGAATGAATGTTATCAAAATGACACTTTTTCGTAATGGTTCCACTTGTGGATATTTTTTAATGGATAATAAATGAAATGATACTTTAAATCTGAGTGTTAGTCAATTTCAATCACATTTAAGTATTATGTTGTTGGCAGAGGTAGGCCGAAAAGAAATGTATGGACTGTGTGAAAGATAATATAGTAAAAATGGGAGTAAATAACGAGATGACTGCTAACAGGGACGAATGGAAGAGAAAAACATATTACGCCGACTCCAAATAAATGGGATAAAGAAGAAGCAGATGACGATAAGTCTTTTGTTGTTGGTCAGATTCGGGTTAATATTGATTTAAATTTATCCAAGCTTTGTTTCGCAGATATTTAATTTATATACAATTCTGTTGTTTTTATTTACATTTCTGTAAGCATTCAGTTCGAATCGAGCATATTGAAGAATAACAATTGCCCTTGAATAAATAATTGTGTAGACAGAGCATGAAGTATGAAAACAGTATGAGTTTTGCGAACTTATTTTATTAAACATTTCTGAATACAATGCTCTATGTATGTAAACAGATTTAGTAGTAATAGATATACCAAGGCGAACGGTATAATAATATAGTGGAAAACTGAAATAAATATGTTTTGAACATTACATACTAAATTGATGATAATTTTAATAGTTCAAATTTTGTCTTTTTACACAGAGATATATTAGATTTTTAATTGTGACGAAATTTAGGACTTCCTTCTTGTCAAACAATGTTGCACTTTGTCAATCCGTTCCTACCTATAGAATGTGTGAAATAATTATTGGATGATCTGTAAATGAGCAGTTTTTATGACATATTATCTTATTAATATTATAAACGCTATTTTGATGAAACT